GAATCCCAGGGCACCAGGCTTTGGATGGTGGCAGCCAGGGAAAGGGAATTGAGTCTCAGGTTTCAATTCTCAGTGCTGAGCCTCCCAGGCCAACAGCAGGAAGCCAAAGGGCTTGGTCACTGCTCAGCTGGTGTGTGGAATGCAAGAGGTGTGGGGTCGGGAAGGCGTCCACCCAGACTTCAGAAGAAAGCCTGGGCTGCCAGGCAGTGAGCCCCTGAGAGGGCAGTGTGTGAAGCTGTGAGGGGAAGCCAAAGGTGCAGTTTACAGGAGTCAGGAACATGGGTCATCTGAGGCGAGATGCAAGGAGTGAGTAAAGCCAGCCCGAGAGAAGCCATGAGGGCTGAAATGATGGCAGTGCCTTAGGGGAAGAACCACCCAAGTCCTCTAGAGTTTACAACTTGCCACAGGTTTCCCCATGGAACTATCAAATTTAATGTTTTCCCTATTTGATTTTTGTCTTCATTTGATTCTGTATCTTTCTATCCCTCATTTCTACATAGCATGTTGTAAGTATTTAACTTTTTTTTCATTTTTACAGGGTTTGCCTTAAATCTCAGAGGAAGCCAGGCATGGTGGTGCATACCTGTAATCCCAACATTCAAGAGGCTGAGGCAGGAGGATCACTGCCAATTTAAGGTCAACCTGGGCTACACAGTGAGTTCAAGTCTAGCTTGAACTGCATAGTGAAAACTTGTCTCAAAAAGACATAACAAGAAATATCTTAGAAGAGACTCTGGACTTGGACTTTTCAGCAATATTGAAACTATTAGGACTTTGGCAGCTCTTCAAGATGAACTAAATATGTTTTGCATAAAGGGATACACAGGAATTTTTGTGGGACCGGGAGTAGAATACTATAGTTCATGTCTAGATGTCCCCTTAAAGTCTCATGCACTCATAGGTGGAGCTTTTGGGAGGTGAGCTTGGATCCCAGGAATGTGATAAGTATCAGTGGATTGGTCCACTGTCGAATTTATAGCCACATGTGATGTTGAGAGGTGCAGTCTGGTTGGAGGTGGGTTGTGGGGGCGTGGCCTAGAAGGATCTATTTGTCTCATCCTCCTTGTTCCCTCTCTCTGCTTCCTGCTGCCACTCCAGGAGTAAGCCTGCTTTACTGTGCTGCCCTGCCTTGGAGCTGCCTGACTGTGGACTGAAACTTCTACAAACTTTGAGCCAAGGTAAATCTCTTCTTCCCTGAGCTGTCGGTACTAAATGTTTTGTACTAGCAAAAAGAAATTGTTAAGATACACACACACACACACACACACACACACACACACACACGGCCTCTATTTCCCTTTTATCCTTCATGTAAGGCAGGATCTCAGCACCTATATCCTATTCAGCATTACTCTGATGGTTTTCCAATTCAGACACTTGCAGCTCTTCCCTGTGTTTAGTTCTGTCTCCCATTCTCCTGCAGGAATCCTCTGGGATGACACTGAATGAACCTTTTTAACACCTGGGAGGTTCACTGAAAGGTTTTATGCTGATTGGATGACAGTTTTTGATAGATCATTCATGGGGCTAATAATCAGAAGCCAATTGGTTAAAAAGTGAGCATTAGAAAATGATATTCAATTGTAATAAGTATAATCCATTGTAACAGAATTTAAGGGCTTTAGCAAAATTTAACAACTTTTCATGTTGAATTTGCTTTTAAGGGTGGTAAGAGGAGATGACTTTAACTGTTTGATGTTTTTTGTTATTGCAGTTTTTAAAATTAACTATATAAAGGTGATAGACCAGACTTGACCTAAAAAAAAAAAAAAAACAGAAACAGGAATACTTATCAAAACATCTATTGCTTGTCAGGCATGGTGGTGCATTCAAGAAGCTGAGGCAGGAGGATTGCTGTGAGTTTGAAGCCAACCTAGGCTGTATAAGCAAGTCCAAGGCCAGCGTGAACTGCACAGTGAGATCCTGCCTCAAAAAAACACAAAAACAAATCAAAACATAACACAACATAAAACACATCTATTGGTGACCTGTACATCAGGTCTCATTCTTAGGACTTTTATGGATTAAATTGTTCAAGCACCTGTATATTTTATGATGAGAAAGCCATGGAGAGGCTACATAGCTTGTCCAGGGTCACATAAATCTTTATGACAATGCGTAAATATTGGACATATATTTCTGTAATGTAGATTTATCTTTCAGTTCAAAATCAATAACAGTAAATCTCTAGGTGCCACAAATGAATGGGTAAAAACAAAATAAAATGTGAAGAAAAAGCTAGGGCTGCACATGGGGTTTAAATTTTAGGTACTCAGAAATCCCCAGGTGGAAACTGAGGTAGCAAGGTGAGACTCAGATAGAAGTAACTGCGGAGAGATCTCTGCACTCTGAGGTGCTGTGGGCCCAATTCCATCACAACACCTGAGAGCTAATTCCCGCCGAAGAGGGGCTCACACAGGGAAACTGTAAATCATTTCAGGAGCACCAACAGGAAAAACAAAGATGGATGTAGGTTATTAAAATTATTATGACAGATTATAAAACAGTTGAGGAAGCCTGCCTGAAGAGACAGAAATGCGAGAGTTGACAAACAGGGACATGGAAACAATAGAAAAACAGACAATGTGTGTTCCGTGTGGGGCGTGTGAAGGTCTTACCTTCTCGGGGCCCCAGTGTCCAGCACTGAAATCTCTTCCATTCTCAGTCAGATAACAAAAGGGGCACGCTAGGCATGCACAGTTCCTTAATTTGGACAGAGGAAAAGGTGAGAAACGTTTGTGCGTGGAGGCAGGTATATTGCTAGGGCTGCAAAGCACTGTTGGTTCAAGAGCTTAACCAAGAAAAATGTGTGTAGTCCGTGGGGCTTCAAGTCCAGGATCAAGGTGCTGATGTGTTTGGTGGCTTCTGAGGCCTCTCTCTGGGATCGCACATGGCTGTCTTCACCTGGTGTCTTCTCCTGGTTTTTCTCCTGTGTTGTACATGTCTGTGTCTGAAGTCCACCTCTCACAAGGACTCCAGTCACACTGGGTGAGGGCTGCCCCCCGGAAGCCACACCTGCCCAATCAGTGCTAGGAAGGAGGACTTCAACATAGGAACCTGGGCGACATATTTCAGCCCAACCTTTCTTGTTTCTGTCAAATTCAGGTCTATCAGCTGCTAACCATGTGACCCAGGCTGTTATATAACCACACGTTGCCTCATTCTCTCTTTGTAAAATGAGGGTGATAAATAGTACCTGTGTAATAGGGCTGCTGTTAGAATTAAATAAATTCATGTTTGCACGTCTCTAAAAAATAGGTGCAAAATGCTTCAGCAGATAATAAAATCTATACCCCAGAAATAAGAAATTTTTTAAAAGTTTAAAACAAATTCAAAGAAGCAAGTAGATTATTTTAGAGATGAAAAAAGATTGCATTTTTAAAAAATCTTAACCAGCCGTCACTGTAGATGTAGTGAGATTTAGTGATTTGGAAGATATATCTGAGAAAAATCACCCGGGATAAAGCTCCAGGAGATAGAAATGGAAAATACGAAAGAAGTCAAAAAATATCTACAGAATAAATGAAGAAAACCCAGTAGGCATTTCACAGACTGTTCTGCAGGAGAGAAGCAAGGCAGAGGGAGGTGATATTCTAAGAAGCAATGACTCAGGCTTTTTCAGCATTGGAGAAAAACAGGAATCCTGAGATTGCAAGGGCGTGCTGTGGAGTCCCAGGCCAGGCACATGGAACTGAATCCGTCCCAGGGTCCCCTGCAATGGAGCTGGGGATACCAGAGGCAAACACCACACCCCAGGAGCCTTTCAGAGGGCAGCAGACTCCAATGCAGGGATCCTGACCCCAGCAAGCCAGACACTGCACTGCGTGTTTCCCCCACGTTTCCCAGGACTCTAGCCGCTGCTCTGTGACCTGGGCGCTGGGCCTCCATGTCCACTGCGGACGTTTTGTGCTTTGTCCCGGCCTTGCCCAGGTTTGATGCCTGCCTCTAAGAAGGCTTCCTACCCCCACGCCACCTTGCTCTTACCCCTGTCACCATCGAGACCTTCCCTGAAGCCCTGGTCCCTGCTTTCGCTAACCTCTGTCTAATGTTCCCCGGAGAAGCCCTGCAGCTCTGGAGCTTTGTCCAAAGCCTAACCCTTGTCTTCCCCGTTAGCTAAGCTAACGATGTGTCGGCTACATGGCACCTGCTCAGTGCGTTTTTTTTGAACACTTAGCAATTGCTCCTTTGGGGTCCATTAAATTTGCACTGGAATCAAGCCCATGCAGCCAAGCACTTTGGTCTTTTTGAAGCCATATTTTCCCACTGGTGATCTGGCCAGGACAGAGTTAATGGGGCAGCCTTAAGCCATATTTCAAAGCCTGACATTATATTACTTTCCATTATTTTAAAAATAATACCTTCTTAAACAATAATAGGGTTTGTGCATAGAAGAGGGTAGAGAATAAATAGCATTTGTAATCTCATTAGTTAAATTATTGACAATGCTTATGTGTTCATTCTGTATTAAAAAGATACTATTTCACTGGCAGCACAGTGCTAGATTATAAGGACGTAGCAACACATATTTTGTGTTTTGTTTTTTCTTAATACAGACTTTTGAGGATATGCGGCCCCAACTGCAGAAGCAGAATCCCAGCTATCTGCCATCTTATACTCTTCTTTTTATACTTCACACCACCCCAAGTGTTTTTCTTGCATTATCTAGTATTAAAAGTGGGGTTTTAATTAACTGACTGGGCCTCAACTCTTAGAGCACTTTAAAAGGACTCTTCCACATCAATCGGTGGGTGGGAAAAGGAGGGTACAAAGGTGCCGATTTTAAGAGGATGCCCGGCCTCCCGTGGGTGTGGGTCTGACACACGTGGTTTAATGGGGCTCACCTTTGGGTGGGGCTTTCAAAGATAAACTCCAAGGTCAGACTGAGTTGGTCTCCTCAGGACTGGTGAGCAGGAGGACCAGGGTAGGGACAAGGGACCAGAACAGGCAGTCCAGGGACCACTGCAGCCTGGAGAGTCATTCAGTGATTGACCTCCCAAAAAAGGAAACTGAAGCAGGGGTGTACTTGGCTCTGAACCAGAGCACAGTTGGAGCTGAGCGGCCACCTGAAGACACCTTGAAAGGACTTTGTCCAGCGGAGGGAAGGGAACCAAAAGGGGTTCTCCCTCACCTTCCGGTTCGAGATGAAGCAGGAAGTGTACTTTGAACGAATGTAGCTGCCTGATTTTCCCAGCTTCGCAGCTCATTCATTCCTGTTCCCAAGTAGTGGGCCAGCAAGAGATGGTTTATGTCTTCCTGCTGGTCAGCAAATGACTTGTGCTGCTGGGAATGGACCACAGAGGTTGGGCATAGTTCTGGTGGACACAGAAGAGCCCTACCAGTGCTGGACATGAGTTAACGATATGGATGGGTTACCTCCATTGACCCTCACGTGCTTCTGCCTGGTAAGGTCACCTTCTTCCTCTCACTGACGGGTATTTACCAGGCACCAGTGGTGTATTGGAAATCATTCCAGGTACAGGTTGCATGGGAAAGAAGGCAACTGAGGTCTCCGCTCTCTGCAGCTGTCAAACTTTTAAATAACAACCAGAGAGGCTGAAAAAGAATGAGATGTGTTAGGAGTCAGCCCTGGAAAGAGGAACATGTGTGGGCATATTCAAAGTAGAAAGGGGCAAAGGGGAAACCTTTAAAGGCAAAACAGCTTATGTAAGGCGTAAAGAATGACGTAAGCTGCCAGACAGAGGTCCTTGCAGAATTGTTTCCACGTGCCGTTGGGCTGGCTTTGTGCAAGGCTGTGGTTCTGTGTCACTGCAGATGCTGGTCACTGTCCTTTTGATCAGGGACTCAGGCTTGCGATCCCTTCTTTTGCACCCGCCTTGGTGAGGATTTTGGTCAGTGGTTTTGTTTTGATTCTAACAATGCTTATGCATGGCTTTGAGTCTGTTGTGAGATTTTCCTTTCATTTCTCCGAGGTCCCAAGCGGCCACTCATAAGCCAGTGGCCCTGCCAGAAGGGCAGACAGGTCCTGTGTGGCTCCCACCGGCTGCTCCCTGCCCTGCATCACTTGGGTCCTGAGGAACCGTGTCCCGCCTGCACCTGGTTACTGATGTCTCCATTCCCATGAGGCCGTGTTGACTCAGGCTGCTGGCCCTCTGACTCAGGCCTGACTGTGGAGGCAGCATCCTGATTGGGCCAGGACTGGGCTGGAACACTGACATTGTCCCTGGTGCATGCCAGACCGGAGGTGTGGGAGGCCGATCTGGATCCTCCCGGGGTGTATATAGACCTGGGACAGAGGCAAGGCGGGATAAGCGGCAGCCACCCAGGGCTCCTGGAAATCAGGTTCCCCCACCACCTGTGCCCAGGCACCCTGAGCTCAGACCTGGGGCCATGTGCTTAGAACATCGCAGTGGTGCAGAGGTATGGCTTTCCTCCAAATCAACCCACATGGTGCTCTGCGGGCATGGGCAGGACTCTTGCTCCTGGGTAATAGCCAGGAGCCAGGTAAAGGGATTCAGGTGGCGTTTGGGAAATCCTCCGAAGGTGGCAATTGTGGGGCGCACACCAGCTCCAGAACCAGATCAGGTGCCTTGGCCCATGGGCCACTGGCTATTCAAGCCCCCCACTGGGTTCTGGCCTGAGAAGGAAGAGGAAGGAGTCGGGGTGGTGGCGGGGGATCGGATCAGCAAATCAGCAACTCAGGAGACTCCTGTCGAGGGCTTGGGAGCTCGGGGGTCTGAATTCTGTTTTGGAAAGATCAGCCTGTGTCAGTGGGGGAATTAAGAGCTCCCTTTACTCTGGCTTGGGGGCCCCAGCAAGCACTGTGTCTACACTGAGCTGTTGAGCCCACTGAGAACTGTTTTTTGGGGGAGGAAGAGGCGACATCCCAGCCAGCAGAGACTCAAGGATGAAGGCTTTTCTTCTGGGAAAAGCCTCAAAGCTCACCTCCTCCTTGTTCCCTGTAATTATTGGCTTTGTCTGCTGTCAGGGGATCCTGAGGGCGGGACTGCAGCTCGCCCCTTCCTCTGATCCCAGTTCACACAGGTGCTGTGTGCGAGCTGGTACAGATGTGTGAATCAGAGTTGACAAGAGTGTGCTTGCCCAGAGGGTTCAGCCCCACAAGGCACCACCAAGCCCCAGTCAGGCAGGAGAGTGCAAGAGGAAGGTGGAGACCTTATCTTAGGGAGAAGTCACACAGAACTTTGAGAGTCCCAGCTGCAGGGCTGCAGGGCCGGAGTGGGAGGATGCAGTTTGTGGGAGCATGGGTTGTGGAATCTGGAAGATCCAGGCTGAGATCCATCCTGCTTCATCACTCCTAAGCTGTGAGCTCCCGCGGAAGTAATCTCCGGGCTCCCCAATTGGCCCCTTCTCTGTTTCTTCACTTCTGCCAGTGGAAGGCTGATTCCTGCCTACCTCCTGGGGTGGGTGAGCTGCCAGGGTTAGGGCTGGCACCTGCAGGACCCTACCAAGTAACAGCCTTTGGTAGCTTTCCTCGGGGCCACAGGAAGTTGCTGCCAGGAACCCATTCTTGTCCCAGGAAGCAGCAGTTTCTAAGACTTGAGGTGATAGTGTTACTTCTCCAATTGCCCAGTATGGAGATTCTGGCCTCTTAACCCTGTCCAAGCTCCCTCATGGGGGCCATTGTTATTCCCCAGTGACAAACTCTTTCCTTCTGTGTCCACCATGACTATGTCCACAGCTCCATGGGCCGTGGGATAAGTCATTTGCCGATGGCATTGTCCTGGGGCAGGAGGGCTGTATGGCTCAGAAGGTTCTTGGTTCTCAGCTCGGTTTTCTCATCTGTATGATGGGATGATAATGGTATCTGCTTTCTGGGGTGTTACAAGGATTAAGTGGATACATTTTTAAGGTTGTATTGTAAGTGAGAAAGTTTTCAAATTCAACTTGCAAGCAAGTTTTAGAAAACATTGATGAGGATGTAAAGCATGCCCAGCACTTTATGAGGGCTGCCTGAGCACCTGGCATTGCTATAGGGGGATGGTATTGTTTGTGGGGTACAGGTTTGGAAGTGTACAGTGACTGAAGAGGGAGGCGACACTTGCACTGAGCCTGAATCTCTGGGCTCTATCTCCTGGGCCTGGCTTTATCTTCAAACACACACAAGACAAGTGCTTAGAAAGATTAGCAGCTTGCACAGCAGCTGAGATTAGCAGGGGTCCAGAGCCCCCCCCCCCAACCTCTAAGCTCTACAAGGGGAATCATTGTGAGACCCTAGGCTGCACAGAAGGCAGGATGCAGCAGGTCAAATTCAGCAATCCTTGGAGATTGCAGAGTCATCTAAGGCTCTGGCAACATCAGCAACCCTGTGTCCTCATAGGGTACAGACTACACAAGGATAGGTATGACGGCCAAACTAAACTGTGTCAGCCTGACTGGCCTAGGACTCACCCAGGGAGTGGGTGAGACAGTTCTGGGTGTGTCTGTGTGGGTCATGGAGGTGACGCCTTGGGCTGCAGAGTGGGTCCCTTCACCCTTCCTCTTGGGCACCTCCTGGCTGCCATGGGTTGAGCAGCTCTGCCACGCCCTTCTGTCATCGTGGATTTGCCTGAGAGCCAGCTGACCAGGGACCAAACCCTCTGAAGCTGTGATCTGGATTAAACCTCTCCTCCTTTAAATTGTAGGTGTTGAGCATCGTGTCCTGGGGATGGGAAAGCTAACTCAGCAGGGTTCTCGGTCTGCTTTGTTCAGGGTATACACCAGGGCCCTAGAGAGACACTGGACACCTATGGGAATGCAATTAATATTTGCTTCCTGGGTGGGTTTGTGGCCACCCTTAAGAAGGTTGGAGGCTAAACCAGGCATGGTGGTGCGTGCCTGGAAGCAAAGCACTTTGGAGGCTGAGTCAGGAGGACCACTGTGAGGTCAAGGCCAGCCTGTTGTACATAATGAGTTCAAGGCCAGCCTAGACTACAAAGCAAGACCTTGTCTCAAAAAAAAAAAAAAAATTAAAATAGAAGTCAGATGCTGTACTATGTGAAGTTATCAATTTAGGAAACTAATAGTGATCTGTATGCATGGGCAGACCCGTCAGGGAGCCGATCACTGTTCTGTTCAGAAACCCCCTCCCGTACCCACCCATCTTCCCAGCCGGGCCACACTTGCCCTGCCTACTTGTAGGTGCCTTTCCTAGGTCTTAGTGCAGACTCCACTCCTGCCCCTAACTAACCTCCACTCTCACCTCAGGGGTCCCTCCACGTCCTCCTTTCCGACCCCTTGGAGACTTCTCTGCCTTGCTTTCCCCTCGAGTTTCTGCGCTGATGTCCTCAGCTGACCATCACTAGGGGCCAGCTCATTGTACTGGGTGTACAAAGACCCTTTTAACCTGACTGCACCCACAGCATTGAATTACCCCCCAGGACACTCGTTTCCAACACACTCGTGGTGCAGGAATAGACCCTGTCAGTCTGCCGCAAGGACACCTCGGGCCACACCTTCCTCCTTTAGCTTTGCATTTTCAAACCTTGATCAGATTTGGGGTTTTCCCACACTTACATTTCATCACAGTCACACTGGTGTCTGCTTTCTTGGACTGCAGGCTGCGGATCCAGATTTCCTCAGACGTCCTTCCTCCATCTGTGTCTAGGTAATAATCCCCTCCCCTTCCCTTCCTTCCCTCCCCTTCCCTCCCCTTCCCTTCCTTCCCTCCCCTTCCCTCCCCTTCCCTCCCCTTCCCTCCCCTTCCCTTCCCTCCCCTTCCCTCCCCTTCCCTTCCTTCCCTCCCCTTCTCTTTCCTTTGCCTTTTCCTAGTGAAGCACTTGCCCTGTGAAGTTTTATTTTGTCACCTGGTCCCAGTGATAATGTCCACTGTGAAATGAAGAGTGGTCTGCTAGACACTGATTTATCAAAAGCATTAGTTACGTTAGGGATTTAGCTCAGTGGCATTAAGTGCCTGCCTTGCAAGCACATGCATAAAGTGTTACTCTGTAAGCAGTTAATGCGTGTGTGGAGCAGAAAATTGCACAAGGGCATGGAGAGCAAAGCCTGTGCCCCCTCCTGCTCACTCACAGCCACTTCCTGTCCCCGAAGGCCATATTGCCGGGGTGGGGGGGCTTTCCCAGGAAACGGGGCTCTGGCATGGGACCCTCCTCCCCACTGTGCATGGGAGGGTGGAGGGGCAAGGCAGGCAGAGGAGCAGGCTGGGGAAGGTGACAGACAGCAGGAAACTTTGGAGTCACACTGGCCCAGGTTGGTCCTTGCTGGCATTAACACACGTAGCCTGGCTGAAGACAGTTGGCTTGGCTGGAGGTTGGTTGCTCTGAAAGGAAACCGGCTGTCATTCACTGTCACCATGGTGTCCTTGCTGCTCCCTGCCCCTTCCCTTTTGTCAAGACAGGTCTGGTTAGGTAGCCCAGGTTGCCTCAAACTCATGGCGATCCTCCTGCCTCAGCTTCCCAAATGCTGGGTTTTCAGGTATGCACTACCACATCCAGCCTTTTAGAGCTGAATGCTTATTATTGATTATTTTCTTTCACCTTTGGGGTCTCCTCCACCCCGGTTAGCAGCCAGAAGCCCACCTCCCTCTCCCTCTGCTAAGAAGACTCCAGACTGTTCAGCATGAGCCCATGCAGTTGGAAGGGGGCCTCAGCCCCTGGCACCTCAAGAAGCACAACCTTCAGAATCCAGGCATTGCCCCCCCAACAAGGACTTTCTAGGGCTCTGGAGCTATAAAAAGCTCTCGTATGCCATTTCCTGGCAGTGGGGCAGCTGCAGAATCCCACTCTGTGAGTGCCTCTCCCACCCCAGCTTTGTCACCTGAGTAACAAGCTGTTTGGAGAAAGCAGCAGAAGGTTACCAGGGTCTTCTGGGAGGGTACTGGCGAACTCAGAGCAAAACCGACCACAAAATACATTTCTCCAGCACCTCCCAACACCAGCGACTCCTGCCTGGAGTGCTGCCACCTCCACAGAGGCCCATGCAGAATTGACAAGCTCAGGTGTGAAGGAGAAGCTGAGCGTGGTGCACACCTGCAACCCCAGCACTTTGTAGGCTGAGGCAGGAGGATCGCTGTGAGTTTGAGGCCAGCCTGAGCTACCTAGTGAAACCCTGTCTCAAAAAGAGAAAGAAAGCAAAGGAAAGAGAAGAAGGGAAAAGGGCGGGGTGCAAGGTGGGGAAGCCACCTAGAGAGGAATCGGCTTGCCTGTGGGTAAGTGTCACCTGTCTGGACTGGCGACTCTGCATCCTGACACAGGCATGGCTGCAGATGACAGATTATGCATCTTTTCTTCCTTTCCATCTCCCAGTCCCATGGAGATGTCCACCTCCCAGATCCTGCAGCGGGAGAGGCTGTTCCAGTCGGGAACACACACTTACAGGATCCCCGCTCTGCTCTATCTACGGGGCCAGAACACCCTGCTGGCCTTTGTGGAACAGCGGCAGAGCAAGAAGGACGAGCACTCGGAGCTGATTGTCCTGCGCAGGGGCGTCTACAACGCATCCAGCCACCAGGTCACGGTGAGTTGAGGGTGGATGACATCCGCCGCAAAGGTTGCTCCCCACACGTCCGACTCCCGGTGCATGCAGGGAGAACCAGGCCCTAGTCTCCTAGGACATGAGCATGATCCCTCCCCTCAAGGGCTGCAGTCTGGGGACAGAGAAAAAAGCCCAGAAGAGAGCCAGGGAGCCATGCAGAGGAGGGGCGCCCCAGGGAGCACATAGCCTGTCATCTTCTGGTCACTCGCTTCCGGCAGAGTCCCCCTGTGTCCCTAGAACCCGAGGGGAAAACAGTATACAGTCCCATCACTGGGGGTCACGGTATGATGGCAGCAGGGTGGGGTTGCTGATGTTCAACTTGGAGATGAATAAATTTGAGGCCAGCTGCCCAGCGTCCCTCACCTGGGGCCACTGACCCAGACACCAGGTTAAAACTGTTTTAGACTCAGAGGTAACAGGTGTCCATCCTCATGGGATGGGAAGCAGATGGACCTGGGTTAAAGTCCTAGTTCTGACCCTTAGCGGAAGGGTGACCTTAGGTGACAGACGAGCTCCAAGCCCCTTGCTCTCCAGATGGGAGGCAAAGCTGGAAACACTGGTCGGGGCTGGGCAGTGGGAGGGGATGGTGGTGCTGGTGGTGTTGGCATTTTGGCAGAGTCTGCACCTCCCCCAGTGGGGAGTGGGGTCGCTGCCAATGATTGGAGGTGGCTGCTCACAGCATGGACTGGGCTTCAGAGCAGCTCAGCACGAGGGCTGCACCCGCTCTGGCCAGCACACTAATTGAGGATTAGTGTGCAACACGGGGTGATCCTCATGGTCTGTGCTACACTGGCCAGGGAGGAGAGATTGAGGGGAGCCCCGGGTTCCCCTTCTGAGGGGACAGTGCATGAGGGCCAGCGCGCTCTTCATGGTCTTTATCCCACCCCTAGACGCCCCATCCACAGCTCTTGTCACTGTCACTGGTTCTTTTAAGACTTTTAAGACTTTTCCTTCTCCCCCTTGGGCCTACTCAGTGGCAAGCTCAGGAGGTGGTAGCCAGAGCCCAACTACAGGGCCACCGCTCCATGAACCCGTGTCCCCTGTACGACGAGCAGACGGGGACCCTCTTCCTCTTCTTCATCGCCGTCCTGGGGCAGGTCTCTGAGAACCACCAGCTCCAGACCGGGGTCAACGTGACACGGCTGTGCCAAGTCATCAGCATGGATCACGGCAGGACCTGGAGCCCTGCCAGGGACATCACAGAGGTGGCCGTCGGCCAGGCTCACAGGGAATGGGCCACGTTCGCTGTGGGCCCGGGGCACTGTCTGCAGCTGCACAACAGGGCTGGGACCCTGGTGCTGCCAGCCTATGCCTACCGCCTCCGGCCCAGGCCGCTGCCACCCTTGCCCTCTGCTTTCTGCTTCCTCAGCCACGACCATGGGCGCACATGGACACGGAGTGGCTTTGTGGGCCAGAAAACCCTGGAGTGCCAAGTGGCTGAGATTGGCACCGAGGGGCACCGGGTGCTATACCTCAATGCCAGGAGCCCCCAGAAGGCCAGGGTCCAGGCCCAGAGCACCAACGATGGGCTGGATTTCTCAGTGAGCCCATCAGTTAGGCAGCTGGTGGAGCCACCCTCCGGCTGCCAAGGCAGTGTAGTCAGTTTCCCGGGCTCCAGGCAGGGCCCAGGTGCCACGGGCCAGTGGCTGCTGTACTCTCACCCCACAGATCCGGGGAAAAGGTCCAATCTGGGCATCTACCTCAACCAGCAGCCCCTGGAGCCTACAGCCTGGGCAGGGCCAGCCCTGCTGGCCTCGGGCAGCTGTGCCTACTCAGACCTGCAGAGCATGGGCCCTGGCCCCGACGGCTCCCCCCAGTTTGGCTGTCTGTACGAGGCAAAAGACTACCAGGAGGTGGTCTTCCTCATGTTCACCCTGAAGCAGGTGTTCCCTGCCTCTAGCTGGACCCCATGATGGCCCTGCACTAGCCACTGGCTTTCCCTTCTGTGCGCATCATGGTGCTGACAGAGGGGACACATTCACCTATTTTCCTGTCCCCGCCCTTTGGGAGCCTTCTCCCCATGCCTCCTCAGGTGACCTCTTAGCTATGTATTGTTTCAGTCTTTCCAGAAGATTCTATTTACAACCCAGATCAAAGGAGGCTGGCTTTCCAGAGCCCTTGACAGGGAGGGTGGGGACAGCCTGAGCGGTGGCTATCACTGCCCAGTGGGTGTCAGGCTGTAGGGCTCGACCTGCCTGATCCCTCATCCCCAGCTTTTGTGCGGGTCCTAATAAAGCTGTGTGTCCAGCCCGTTTCTGCTCCATGTTTGGCGTGTTCCTGGGGGAAGCTGAGCCAGAGATGTGAATTAGCAGACAGTGTGTGTGTGTGTATGTGAGTGTGCAGGCACATGTATGTGTCCTGCCCATCTGTCTTCCTAACCACTTACAGCCTGGGCTATAGTTAGTTTCAAGCCAGTCTGAACAATAGAGCAAGACCCAGGCTCAGAAAATGAACCAGCACACACCACGCTGTGAGAGGAAACCAGGTGAGGGTGGAAGCTGAGATTTCTCCTGACAGCCAGGGCAGCAGAACCTACAGGAGAATAAGGTGGGGGGCAGGGGGGTGTCTTATAGCATCCAAGTCAAATTGGGACACTTCTCCACCTGCAGGGGGCGCTATTATAATGACACCTGGGCAATAGGTGTGAACCAGGAAGGGGTAAGAGAAAGACTCACTAAAGACCATGCCAGGGGCTGCACCATTTAATTCCCAGGAGCTGGGGGGAGGGGACAGGGTGAGATTCGAATGTCCCCTGTGAGCTGAACCTTCGTCCAACTGTTGGATTTGCTGGCTCTAAAGTCCTAGTTCTTTGTAATTTTGTAATTTGTAATTTTGTAATTTTGGAATTCCCTGAGAGCCATGCAACACCTGCCCCGCCCTGAGCAGCTGATTTGCACACACACACACACAAAACCACTGCCAGGACTAGGTCTTCAAACTTGAGTGATTCTCATCAATGTAAGACCCCACCATTCCTGGCATCCTCCTGGCTCTAAGTGAATTCCAAGGCCAGAGTCTTCTGATCTGAATTTTTACAAAAGCAGTGAATGATCTGATTAAAGCTGAGCAGAACCACCCATCAACAGTCACCATTAAGTGAAAAAGTCATCGATGGGGAGAGGATATTTGTAACACACATACCTGACAAATGCTTGTGTCCTGAATATGCAAAGAGCTCCCACAAATCAATAAGAAAAAGACAACCAGTTTGATAAAAGTAGGTGAAGAACTGGACCAGGTATTCACAAGATAGGATGCGCTGAAGCTCGCCAAACACACAAAAGTGCGCTCAACATCGTTGATGAAAATGAAAGCCAGAGGTACGTCCCTGTTAGGATGACTAAGATTAAAGAAACTGACGACGGCAAGGATGAGGAGCCCCTGGAATGCCCACTCTCCTGGAGAAAGTACAGGCATGGCTGGGGTTACCCCATGGGAAAGCTGTAATTAGAGATCCCTCAACAAAACCTGCAAATCCTCCAAGACGTGGCAAATCCGGCAAATCCGCTCTGAAGGGTGGCCAGGCCGAAGACTTGTGCACGGTCAGAACATCTGTGCAGCAGCTTCGTTTTGCACCATTCAACCTGAAAACCCAGTGAGCACCGGTGCAACCAGACCATTACAGGACAATGGCATGTGAACTGATGATTTGACAGCTCTGGTCTCAGACATTACACAGAACAAAAGAACCCGACACGGCACATAACCAACAAACAAGAACACGTGTTATGTTCCATGCAGATGAAGTTCAAGGGCAGAAAAAATGAATCTATGGTAAATAAATCAGGACAGAGGATCCATCGGGTGCAGGGAGCTGTTGGAGAGGAAAGATGCTTTGGGGTTCTCCATTATTTTACTGTGCCATCTGGGTTGGTGTTGTAACCGATTCCATGTGCAAAATTCTACAAACTGCATGCCAACATCTATAGGCGTGTACTCTAGCATGTCACACCTTAATTAGAAAAAATTGAAAACTGAACCAGATTGTGGATTTGCTATTTTGATTTTGACAGCAATCTAGTGTCTTGGGTTTTAAGATTTTAGAACAGATGTGGATACGGCTTAGCGGCATGGTACCTGCCTGTGCAGGGTCCTGAGTTCAATTTCTGGTATCAAAAAAATAAAAAATGAAAAAACAAAAAAACCCAGCCCAGGAAAAAAAATTTAGAGCAGAATTTTTGACTAAAGTTTCTTATTTTGGAAGCATTTTGGATCTTACAGAAAAGCTGCCAGGATGGAACACAGTGTTCCCACAACGCCCCACACCTAGCTTCTCCCAGCGTTAAACCTTACATAACTGTGGCTGCTTTGTCAAAACTGGGAGATTAACACTGCTGCATGGCCATAACTGAAGTCTAGGCTTTATTGACATTTCTCCAATCTTTCCACTAACATTCTTTTTTTTTTCCAAAAAATAAAGTTTATTTTAAAAATTTTTATCAGTTCATTGGTAGTACATAAGGTTTGCTTTCCTTGTATGCAGTAGGTACATGTATAGAACACATTTTTTTTTCTTTTTCTGGGACAGGGCCTCATTATGCAGCCCATGCTGGCCTTACATTTATAGTGATCCTCCTGCCTCAGCCTCCCAAGTGCTTGGATGACAGGCGTGTACCACCATACCCAGCCCAGAACACATTTCAATTCTTTTTTTAAAGAATTTTAAAAAAATTCTTTATCCCCTGGTCCCCCTCCCCTTTGAGAAAGATCTACCTCATTTCCTATTATTGATCTTTTATTTTGTTCTTTATTTTCACTTTAGGTTTCTCCTGGGAGAGAACCCATGTGATATTTAAGCTTGTGTCTGATTTATTTCACTTAACATTACGGTCTCAAGGTGCATCCATTTTCTGACAAGTGACTCAGGATTATCCATGCTTACGCAGAGAACTCCTCTATTGTGTGTAAAAACCACGTTTTATTGATCCATTCATTCGTCTGCCAGTGCACACAGGCTGCTTCCCTGGGAGGCTGCTGTCAGTGGAAACCGGTACCATCACGGTGGAAATCAGTGTGGAGAGCGCTCAAGAAACTAAAACTACAAATTCCATTCCACCCAGCTATTCCATTTGTACCTTTTGGCGTGGTACACTAACATTCTTCATGTGAAGGATACGTGTAGTGTGCTCAGTAATTTTTACTGTGACAAACTCGTATCCCTAGACTCGAATGGCTGCACAGACTGACACATAGGTCCAGCAGGACTCCCTCCTCTTTCTTCTAGAAATCACTTGCTAAACAGAAGATGTACAATTGTGCTCAGGCCCAGACCACTGGTGTGCAAAGCCAGAGCTAGTTTGGCCTCTGGGGTTAGGAAGGTGACCCCTATGTTAGTGACACCAAAGCTCCAGGTCTAGTTTGTGGCCCATCATTAAGACACATGCTGGCAGTTTTGTGTTCAGTACCACATTTTGGGATCTTTACATGTGCAGGCACAAGTGTCTGGCCACTGCGTATCCACCACCAGGCCAGAGCTGGAGGCTGGGGAACACATCCCCCCTGGCCACCTGACACTCGCATGGCTGGGGGAAGTGCAGGCCTCTCCAACATGGTCCCCTCCACACGGGCCAGAGATGGGAGCTGGGGCTCCAGGCATGGGGGCTCTCAGGATGCCGCTGCCCCCTCACCTCTGAGCAGCTCCCCTCTCTCAACACACCCCTTAAATCTTTCCCTCTGATGTGGCCTTCTAGGCAGGTAGAAGTGACTGGGGAAGGGATCCTGGGGCTAGGAGGGGCAGGGAAGATGCTGGATATGCCCCTGGGCAGGGAAGCCAAAGGCCCCACAAAGCTCCACAAAAGAGACCCACTCCCTCCTCCCCGGAGCTGTCAGTGGGAGCTGTGTGACATATAGGTGAGGCTCTGTGGCCGCTCTGCTGAAAGCAGCCAGGCTGGTGTCGTGGGGGCGGCAGACCTCCCTTCCCATCCCTGGTGGGCACAGCAGACCCTGCCTCTTCCCTCCTGGAACCAGGTTGTGCGGTTTCCATGGAGACAACCCTGCAGGCCTGTGCAGATGTAAGAAGTTAACCTTGAGGTTGCCCTGGGTCTGCTGGAAGCACACACATAAGCCCAGCTGTCCTTTTGATACAGGATGGGATTTGATACACAGGACGAAGGTGAGGCAACCCCAAAGCTGGGTGCCTGCTGCTGGCTTTGGGGACAGAGGCAGCGGCTTCAGCCTAGGACGGAGAGTGGTGCAGCTTCAGAAAGCCAGAGAGGGTGACCCAAGTCTTAGTGGTGGCTCTGCTGACACCTTGATGGCCCCAGGAGACTGACTCTCGGTGGCTCTACCACAGACCTGGCCAGGGTAGAAGCACTGAAGTCAAGAAGCTTTTAGCTGGGATTTCACAGGCCTGCGGGGATGGGGGTGGGGTGTATTTTCATGGAAGCAGCAAACCTGGTCCCAGGAGGGAGGAAGCAGGGTCTGCTGTGCCCACCCAGGACAGGAAGAGAAGTCTGCTCTCAGCACAGCGGCCACAGAGCCTTGCTTCCACGTCCTGGTTCTTAGAGTCAAGACCACAGCAACCAGACAAGAAAGGCTGAGCCTTGGAGATGGCCATAAACCTGACCCACTGTTGGTGGTAGGGAAAGAGGTCCCACGGGGCCCACGCAGCTAGTGGCAGGACCAGAGGGCAGCTGGGTGTCCCCAGCCCAGGCTCTATCCCAGCATCTGTTCTGTAGCCTCCAGAATCCCATTCTGCATGTCCCCAAGGACAGAAGGGCTCTGGGCTCCGGGACTTTGGCCCTGCTTGGCCTCTCTCAAGTTCCTGCCCTGAGCCACTGGGCACCGAGTCACCGCCCCTGGAGGTGGGCAGAGAGGGACCATGTGTCCACCGCACCTCCTCCGCAGCCGGGGAGGAAGACAGGAAGGGATCAGCAGCCACGCGGCTGGGAGGGGAGGTGAGAATGCTGCTGCTTTCTCAGATCCCACCTCACACTGCTTTTAGAACAGCCCTGCAAAGGAAGAGACGCCAAACATTTGGAAGTACAACGAACCAGGGAAGATCACCCAGAATCCTACTAACTATATTTTCTTCTGGGTTGTTTTTGCTTTTGTTTTTTTGGTTTTTTTCTATCTGTGAGCTTCCCTTTTTCTCCCAAGCTGAGGTCATGCTGTGAAATTGAACTAGAATCCTGTCTTCCCTGGCCCTGTTATTTCTTGGGAATTTCCTCCAGATTATTCTTTGGCAAAGGGTAATGTGTCAGATGCACGCTGTGAATGACTTCACTGTCCCATGGCGTTAGAAGCTGAAGTCCC